GGTAGGGCCAAATACATTTGTATGCAAAATTCCTTTGAATGTTGACGAGGTACAATTACAGAGCAATGGGCATTGTCCTTGGAATGTGGAAAGGAAAGCAGACTGTAGTGTAGGAGGTGAGGAGAGAGCGAGCAAGCTCCTTCCCACGCAATAGGAGATAGGCTAAATGCAAGTCACATTTTCCAGTGGTGGTAACCCTCTTTCAACATCTGTGACGTCCCACCTATGCTATTTCGGACACCCACTTACGCTGTGTTGGGCGTGGTGACGCTGGGCTGGGTTGTGCACGACAGAAAGTCCCAAAATGTATGCGCGCAAATTCAAGTTTCCTTTCGCTCAAACGCCCTGTGTGTTGGGGACAGGGATGGAATCGGCAGGGGGTGGCACACGCGTGTCAAAGCCGCGGTACACATTCAAGGTGGCTTGGGGTGGCAATTCGGAGGTCAAGAAAAGAGGGCTTAGGGCCTGTTTATAGTAGGTGTCATCCTTAGAAATTGTCATCCGAGAATGTTGGAAACCCATCACAACCGTTATTTCGAAACTTCAACGGTTGCGATGGGTTTCCAACATTCTCGGATAACTCTTTTTCGGGATGGCACCTACTAGAAACATGCGCTTAGATGATTGGAGGGCGAGAGACGAGAGGAAAAAACTGACGCGAAATGGGGGGAGTTTCGTAAACGTGGGAGCAAAGTTGTGTGGGGGGGACATAGACTTGCGAGGGTTGGGGGGAACCGGAATTGCGTGGGGGGAGGGGGGATGGGGAGTTGGAATTGGGGGGGAAACGGAATTGTGTAGGTTGGGTTGGGATTAAAGCCGCGGTACACATTCAACCCGTCTCGGGAAGGAAATGTGGAGGTCAAGGAAGGGGGACGAAAGTGATTGGAGGGCGAGAGGAGAAATAAAAGTATTGACGCGAATTGGGTTGAGTTTCGTCGAGGGGAAATTTGGACACACGATACTGGGGGAAATGGAATTGCGTTGGGGGGATTGGATTTCGTGGGGTCGGGGGAGGGGAAATTGAGTGGGGAAAGTTAGAATTGCGTGGGGGAAGAATTGAACGTGATGGGGAAACTGTGAGGGGTGGGTGGGGGGGAATCGAACTGACAAGCGGAACGAAATGCGAAGGGGGGGGGGGTCGAACTTGACTGGGGGGGAATTGGACTAGAGGGGGGAAGGGGGAAACGGAAATGACGGGGGGAGCTGGACAAGCGAGGGGTGGCAAGGCGAATCAAATTTTGGGGGGGCAGGGGGGGCTTCGAAGTTGGGGGGCCAGGGGAATCGAATTTGAGGGGACAGGGGGGGAGTTTCGAGATTGCGGGGCCAAGGGGAATCGAGATCGTTGGGGGAAGGGATGATCGAAATCGTGGGGGAAGGAGGTTGGGAAAACGTGAGGAAAGGGGGGTGAGTCGAGAGGTGGCGATTGGGATTATCAGTACACAATTGCCACAACCCCCCTTCAAATGTTTATCTGCAGGTTGCGAGATCTCGCTACCTCTAGCAGGAATCACTCAGTTACCACATTTTCAAATGTTTATCACTTGAAACAAATTGAAGTGAATGTGTACCGCGGCTTTAAGAATTTCGCGAATTAGGGGGAAACAGAATTACGTGGGGTGGGGGGTGGGGGGTAAGGGAGTCTGGAATCGCGAGGTTTGGGGGAAACGAATTTGACTTGGAGGGAAGATTCAGAATTGCGAGGGGAGGAGGGGAAGGGAGCTGCGACGAAACGGTCGAAATAGCATGGGGTGGGAGGAACGAAATCACGGAGGGGGGGGGGGATCGGAAGGGCGTGATGGGGCAAAACTCCCCTGCGTGGTTGTGGGAATTTCAATACACATCTCGCTCTTTCAAAGGTTTACCAAGGCTGGCGAGATCACAACTTTTGAGGAAGAAACAAGGGTAAGTTGCTACCAGATGAGCAACATTGGACGGCTGATCTATACAGACAAGATTTGTTATCAGAACTAGAATACGTCATCTTTCTGATCTGCGTCATTACGACCAGTTCTGAATCATAAAGATTTGCGTGGTTTTCCGATCTGATCGACGGAAAGATATAGCGACAATTCTTGACGCGACACATAGGCACAAACTTTTTTCAACCCCCCAAACGCAATCGAGCCCCTCGGTTTTCGTTAATATTTTTGCTAGTGGCCCTTCTTCGTTATCCGAGTCACAAATGACATAGTGCTACAATTGATATAAATACATAACATATTAGTGGAGCTTACATATTTAACCTTGTTGCATCATTGGATTTATCTCGACATATTTTGTAAAATCTAAATAAAAAAAAATAAAAAAAATCAGAGGCTACTTAACATACGAACTGGCTGATTTGCATGAACCAAACACACAAAATTTCAATATATATTCAAAAGCTTAAAAAATTCTTTAGATAACATCCACGGTGCTAAAAACAAGAACACATATGCGGCCTAATATGAGTTCGAAGTACGATGCCTTTAGTTCTTCCGATGGCAACTCTGATTTTTTTTTTCACACATATAATATTTCTCTTGTCCACAAACTTGCGTCCAGTTCATCCATTATTTTATTTAATGTTCTAGTCACTAGTTCGTAAAGCATAATATTAGCAATATTGTGTTACTATTATGGAGAACAAACGTCAGCATGAAATTTATATTAACACGGCCCACATAGTTCAATTTTCCGTAGTATTGGGTCATTTATGGCGCGAATAACGAAGAAGGGTCACTAGTGAAAAGATAAGCGAAAACCGAGGGGTTCGGTTGCATTTGGGGGTTTGAAACATGTTTGTGCCTATGTATCGCGTCTAGAATGGTCGAAACTTTTTTTTGTCAACCAGAATGGAAAACATTACAAATTTTTATGATTCAGAACTGTTCGTACCGACGTAGATCGGAAAGATGACGTATTTTAGTTGTGAGAGAAAATCTTGTCTGTACAGATCAGCCGTCCAGTATTGCTCATCTAGCAGCAAATTACCCAAGAAACAACCCAGTAACCCTCTTTCAAATGTTTATTACTTGATCGAAAATTTGTTGAATGCGCGGCTTCAATTATTTCAAATCCATTTTGGTGTGCGACGAGGGTTTCTGCATCGCTTTGGGGAACAAGGTTACCAATGGGGGGGTTCAAAATTAACAAACCTGAAACAAATTTTCTGCAATTCGGGTCAATGACTTTAATCAACTCTTCGACACACGCTCTTTGCGCTGTATTACAGGGAGAAAGGTTGGGCCAAATCGGAGGAGATCTCGCGATTCGACGAAATTCGAGAATGGTTCAAAACGGTCGACCCCCCCTTGACTGTACTTGTTTTTGTATTGATGTGCTGATTTTTGGAAATGTAATTTTGGGTCATTGTGAAAACATTTGCCGCATCCCAATTCAATTGTTGCTCGAACATGCATTGAATGGGTCGCGACAAAAATCTGCTCGTGGCTGCCTGTCCCCTGCACCTATCGTGACACACGTCTTGGCGTCATCTGACTCTCGCAAGTGTAGGGGCTTACGTTTGGTTTTTGGGGCACCCGTCAAATCTAGGTATCTGGCCAAAGCTATCCGTCAGAATCCATATTCAGCACCCTGTTCTGTCAAAATTCATCCATCAAATCCGGATTTCACAGCCAGTCTTGCCAAAATTCACCCGTCATAATTTGGGTTTAAACCCTGCTTTTGGAAAAGTTCCCCGTCCGAATCCGACTTTAGCGAAAACCTCACCCGCTATTTTGTTAAAATCCGGGTAATTACCGGTCAAAATACAACCTACTAGCGACAAACGTCATGCGAAAAGGCAAGGCCTTCCAAGGAAAGATGAGACCTCCCGAGATCTCGCGTAAAGGCCAGCAAACGTCTCGTCATACCTCTTGGTCATGACTTATTTCTCACGGGTAACTACCCAGATTCTTAAAAATAACGGGTGATTTTTCGACCGATTTTGGATTCTGACGTTTTCATTTCCCATGAAGCCGGATTCTGATGAGTTTAGGCATAGGGCGCGGAAATTGCGTCCGGTTCGAGAGAAAACTTTCTGAACCTTGCTGGCTAGCGCGTTTTACCACTTTAGTAACTTTATGTACCGTATTCAATCCTTTTTGAACTCTTGAAAATGATCCGGACGCCGATCGATTTGGTCAAAACGGACGCAATTTCTGCGTCCTTAGCTGCACCACGGAAAACGTGGCCACGAATGATGACGGCGTGCCCAAAATGATTGCGCGTGCATTTGACGAATGCCGCAATCCTTAACGCGCCGTCATTGTTTGTCGTATTACTCTTTATTCGACCCTACACATGCTGCCCAAACCAGTTGCCCCGAAAAAACGTAGTGGCATCTGAACCCAAAACGACGAAGGGTACAGTCTTGGGGGGTCGACCGTTTTGGGTAACGTGGGCATGCCATGCATCGCGCTGAAAAAGGGTCGACCGTTTTAAAACATTCTTGATTTTCGACGAAGTGCGCGATCAGCGTCATGCTGCGAGGGATCAGTATTCAAGGTGCGATCGGGAGGACAGCGTCAAAACACGTCTTTTACGCAGCGAAGGGTTACTGTGGTTTCGGTTTAGTCGTCTCGCGTTTCGCCAGCGATTCTGGTTGAACCGACATTCGCCTGGACATGTGTTGGAAGTGCGTGTTCCACGCCCTTACAGCTCATAACTCGAGGTGAGGTGCATTCAACCACCACCGTCCAGCAAGGAGTCCGCGTCACAGTTATTTCCTCAACCCACCCGCCATGACATATTTACCAAATCCCTCTCCGCGTACCGCCAGCTGGCTAGGACTTTCCCCAGCCGAGTGTTACTGCTTCTTTGTTTCAGTCGCCATGCGTTTCGCCAACAATTCTGGCTGAACCGACATTCGCCTGGACATGTGTTGGAAGTGCATGTTCCACGCCCTTACAGCTCATAACACGACGTGAGGTGCATTCAACCACTGTACTGCAGCAAGGAGTCCACTTCACGGTTATTTTCTCAACCCACCCGCCATGAGATTTACCAAATCTCTCTCCGCGTACCGCCGGCTGGCTAGGACTTCCCCCAGCCCAGTTGTATCGTTTTCTTGCCGGGACACACCACACCACACCATACCGTTTCAAGCAGTACTACAGCCGCTGTAAGAAGACTGCAGCAGTCCTCGGTCTTGCGTGAGTGGCCAGCCATGGTCGTCCAAGGACGACACGCTGGGTTGTTGGCCAGCCATGGTCGTCGCAGGGGATCACGTTGGGGCCAATTCCGCTCCGCGGTGCGTTTCGAACATACCTAGTGTCCCCCTTGTTCGGATGCAGTTCGATTTCCACGGTTCAGCATGGTCGGGAACGGTTCTCGCAATTCACCGTGGCTCACCGCGCACCAGGCCGGACCAGTTGAGGTGAACTTTAGCCAATTTTGAGAGCCGAATGAGCTCGTGAGAGGAGCGCCAGTGCTTCCCTCCGACCTCCCTCCCTTCCTCCGCTGACTGATATTCTTTTCAGGCATCGCCAGTGCGCGACGATTGTCTGTCAGTGCTTGGGCTACTCCGAAGTCAGCTTCTAGTAGCGTCTCTTCCCACTCATCCTATCTCCGGAGCCGGTCCCACCAAGGCCGCACAACTTCCGGCGGTTGTTGCGCGAAGCTACACTACTACTAGGAGTACAGATGCCGCCGCCAAAGTCGGCCGCGATGCAGCGCCGAACATGGCTCGCGGCATTCGCCGCGGCGCTTTGGCTTGCCACGCCCGCCGTCTCCTCGTGCCACGCGGCAAACGTACCGATCCATGCATCTCAAGGTGCCTTTCTCCCCTCCCACAGCTCGTATCGCAGGTTCACATGAAGCAGGCCAAGTTCCGGACAAATCATCACATACACATGCCTTGGTCATCCACGGTAGGTGCATGCTTCAATACAATCCATCCCAAAGTGGGCCTCTATCCACTCAATACATACGGGTCCGTCCCTCCCCTCTCGTGCCCCCAACTGTCAGCCGTGTTTCTCAGCGACTGCCAGAAGGCATGGGGGACGACGATCCCAGGGTGGTCCCAGGGAGCCAGCTGTAGCGCTGCTGAAGGTCTCACGTGTGCCCCGTCGGGCATGATTACCGCCATGTGAGTGCATGCTTTGCTATCCTGGATGGAGTGGACACCACAAATGCTGGCGCCAAAAAGGCCCCTTGCTTCATTGCCCTTGCTTCGTTATCTGCTGTCTGCTGAGATGCGCCATGTGCTCTGAGTCCTCGCTGAAGGTTGCCCTCTGTGGCGGCAAACACTGCATCCTGTGGTGATCGCTTCATGATGGCCTGAAAGCTCGCATCACTCACAAATCTGACCTTCATTCTAACTTCCACTCTACTTCCAACCCACCCCACGCAGTCGAATGGATTCCGCAAACATTTCTGGTGCTATTCCCGACAGCATCTCCTCACTCACTGCACTGACATGGCTGTAAGAAGCGCACACGAGACCATGAGCCCACATGATACAATGATGCTGATGATGTGCATCGCGGCAGGTCCCGGAGTGGGGCGTCTATTGGCATGGAGTAGCTGCGATTGCCTAATCGGCGGCATGCTGTGTGCATTTGCCGTTGCGGAAGGGCCGTGGGCATCAAGCCAGTGGGGCGGGGCAAGAGATGGTCGAGCTGCCAACGCACTGCAGGGTGCCTGCTTGTGTTTGCCTGGCTGTAGGCATGAGCTTGGGCGAGGCAACAAATATTCACGTTGCCTCGGGTTGTCTTGAATCGATCTCGAGGCGAGGCGACGAGAAATCCTCCTGAACGGTCGTCTCGATGGTATCGCCTGGGTATAAGCCGTGCCACATCCGGCTCGGCTCGCCGATTTTGGCGAGCCGCGCCTTTTTTTTTGGAACCCAGCTCGACTCGAGCCGAGCTGGCTCGGCTCAGTCGAGCCGGCCGGCTTGACTCGGCTTGAGCATGACGTCCTTATTGAGCTGGGGGCGAGCCGGCTCGACCCCGGCTCGATTCTGAGCCAGGCGGCTGGCGAGCCGAGAGGAGTGTTGATGGCCAGCGGGCACCGGTTGTGCGGCGACGCTGCGGGCAATCTGCAGTGCGGAAGCTCTCGTGGCGAATGGGCAGTAGAGGGCGGCGCATGGGCAGTAGACGAGTGGACACGGGGCAGTGGAGGCGAGTTGTTACTCGCATCGCTTACTCTCCTCGGGATGGCCGAGTAACAAGGTGGACAAACACTTGACCCAAGGCGAGGCGAGTAAACTTTTCGAGTAACTGAGTACTCGGTTTTTACTCGCCTACAGAGGGCGAGTAGAAAATGCTCGCAAGTACAAAGCACTCGTGATTTTGTTTGCTCGCGTCAAATTTGTACCAGCGCGCCTGATTTCTGTGCCCTTTTTTTGGCGACATGCCATTATTCCGTGGCCGTGCTTGCTGTTTCCGGCCGTTTCCAACATGGCTGCACCCTTATTCAACTATAGAGATGGGGGCAGAAATGCAACACGAGGCAAGTGATACTTGCCTTGGGCGAGTAAATTTTACCCCCTCCAAGACATAGGATTACTCGCCCAAAAAACGAGTAAACGAGGCGGGACCCTCTCACTCTCCCACTGTCCTCCCTCTTCGACCAGAGATCTGGAATTCAATCAGCTTGTCGGATCTATTCCATTGGGAGTTGGAAACCTCCCTGCATTGGAGTACCTGTAAGTAGTGTGAGATAGGCTGATGCTGAAGCACATGGTTGGCTTGAATAGAGCGGCATGTTTAGAAGTGAAGCGTGCTGGAGTCATTTAAAGGAGCTTCACCTCGTTCTCTGCACTTCTTTCACGAGTCCATACACTACATGCTCCCACCTTCCTCCTTTTGCGGTGCATCCATTTTGAACTTGCCACTTCGGATTTCCCTGGCCTGTTTAACCAGCCAGTCATTTGTACTTATTCGATGCATTTGGCTGTTTCATATGAACGGACAAATTGCTGTTGGGGAGATTCACAGAGCAGTAAGCATGCCCACTTTCCACCCTCTGACCAGAGCCCTGACGAGCAATCAGATTATTGGACCCATCCCAGCAGGAATTGGAAATCTCCCCAACTTGAAAGAGCTGTAAGCCGTGGGATGCTGGTTGCTTCTGCGGAAACGCAATTTGTCTAAACGGAGTGCTTCTATAGGAAGAGGAGCGAGGTGCCTTTGTTTGGGGGGTATTGGCAAGCAATGTTCTTGGGTCGTCCTCTCCACCCGCTCCAATGTGGAACCTTCCATACCTGCCACTTCTGAATTTACTGGCCTGTTGGACTTACCAATCAGTACTATATTAATCCCAGATTTCACAGTTTCATACAAGCACATGACCCGCTCTTTAAGAGATCAATGGAGCAGTACTTATGCCCACTACTCACCCTTTGTGAACAGATATCTGGGAGGTAATCAGCTGAGTGGGCCCATTCCAGATGGATTTGGAAACCTCACAAACTTGGTCACACTGTAAGCTGTGTGAAGTAAACAGCTGCTGAGGACCCACACTTTTTGTCGAATATAGCTGTGCTGTAGGATCAAGGTGCTTTTGTTTGGGGCGTGTTGGCAATTTTCTTCGCATTGCTGTGCGGAGCCAGGATGCACCTTTTTCATCTCCCACCTCCCATTTGCCATCCCTGAGTGCACCCATTCTCGTGCCCCTCCCCTGCCTTTCCATTGTCCACCCCACCATCCTCCCAGCCACCGTCTCTATCCCAGATGTTCCCTCCTTCATCCCCACTTAGGCCCACCTTTCTCCCCCTCCTGTCATCAAGTCGCTTGTGTGTTCATGCCCAATTTTCTCAACTCACGTTTTTCAAACCCCCCCAACACCCCCCCAACCCTTGCCTCCCCCACACACAGTTCTTTGGCGTCCAACTTGTTGACTGGCTCCATTCCCAACAGCATCACCTCGCTGAATCAGCTCAACTATCTGTACGAAGCTCACTGGAATCATGTGACAGGTTGCATCGCGATTGCCCACAGCATCAACATTTCGTTTGAACGGTGCACTGTTGTAGAAAACGATGCCTGGCGCTTTCGTTTGGGGGGTGTCGGCGGCGTTGCTGTGCGGAGTCAGGGGACGCGTTTTCCGTCTCCCAACTCCCATTCGCCTTCCCTGCATGAACCCATTTGCGTGCCCCTCCCGACCTTTCCCGTGTCCACAGTATCCTCCCAGCCACCAACTCCCACTTTTCCCAGGCACCATCCGTCCCATTTCTTTCTCCTTTCCCCCTTCATCTTCCCCACCTTCCTCCCCATCCTGCCGTTGGCTGGAGCTGCTTCCATTTGCTCCAAGTCTGCCGCAGAACGTTCTCTTTGCTCCCAGCAATGCTTCCCACGATGCTCATCTTGTGTGTTCATGCCCAAATTTCTCAACTCCTCACTTTTTTCAAGCCCTCCTTCTTCCCCCCCTCCCCCCCCCCCCCCCCCCAAACCAACCCACCCACCACACAGTTATTTGGCGTTCAACTTGTTGAGTGGCTCCATTCCCAACAGCATCACCTCGCTCAATCAGCTCACCTCTCTGTACGAAGTCCACTGGAAGCACGTGTCAGGAGTGGATGGCGATTGCCCATAGCATAAAGTCTCTTCTCGTTGCATCTCTTGTGCTCTCCTCATTTCAGCTCCAAACATGCTTGGATGAGCTCTGAGCAGTTGAGTGGTGCCGAACACCTTGTGGCAACCATGTGCTCTGCATGCTTGGACCTCCCATCGTTCTTCCACTTCGGTTTTCCATCCAGTCAATTTCACTTCCCGTATCTCACTGAAGTGACTGTAACATACGGGCACACATCTCTCAAGGATATCAGCAGAGCAGTATTCATGCCAACGTTTCCCCCTCTTGTGTTCAGAGATCTGTCTAAGAATCAGCTTATGGGGCCCATCCCAGCTGGAATTGGAAACCTCACTAACTTGGGGGAGCTGTAAGTCGTGTGAAGTAGAAAGCGGCTGAAGATAAAAAAGTTTAACGGTGCACTGTTGTAGAAAACGACGCTAGCTGGTTTCGTTTGGGGGCTGCCGTGAGCCAGGAGGCACCTTTTCCATCTCCCACCTCCCATTCCACTGCCCTATGTGCACCGATCCTAGTGCCCCTCTCCGCCTTACCCTAGCATCCTCTCAGTCACCATCCCCGTCCCCTTTCTCCTGTTGGAATACAAATACTAATATCCCTTTATTAAGTGACTTTTGCATAGATAGCAGTGTAGTTATTATTTCATCTTACGGTAGGTGGTGCACCACTATTTGCCCACTGTTGCTTGTATAACTTAGGCTCCTGCCCTTCTAATTGAACTCGTTCCTCAACTTTTCGATTCTCGATTTTAACATTCCCCTCCTTCCCTCCTTCGTCCCCTCGTAGCCCCACCTTCCCCCCCTCCTGCCACCAGCTGGAGCTGCGTCGACTGTCTCAAAGTCCGCCGCAGAGATTTCTCCTCTGTGCGCCACGCAATGCTTCCCTCCCACCATGGCCGTCTCACGACCCCCTTGGGTCGCTTGTGTTTTCATGCCCAAATTTCTCAACTCCTAACGTTTTCCAACCTCTCATCCCCCCCCCCACATACAGTTCTTTGGCGTCCAACTTGTTGACTGGCTCCATTCCCAACAGCATCACCTCACTCAATCAGCTCGCCATTCTGTACGAAGCTCACCGGAATCATGTGACAGGATTGCATCGCGATTGCCCATAGCATGAACTCACTCGCTGACACCGTTTCCCAATCCATGATAATTTTGTCCCTTGTGCTCTCCTCGTCCTAGCTCCAAACATGCTTGGATGAGCTCTGCGCTGTTAAATGGCACCTAACACCTTGTGACAGCCATGCACTCAACATGCTTGCACCTCCCACCCTTCTTTCTAATATTGTCACTTAGGGTGTCCTTGGCATGTTGGGCCAGCCAGCCAGTCCATCGGACTTCATCTATCTCACTTCATTGAAGCTTACACACAAGCGGACAACTCTCTATCTTGGAGTCAACAGATCAATATTCATACCTACGTTTCACCCTAGCTGAAATAAGAAACCTCTGAGAGACGTGGGCATAAGGACGAGCCGGCTCGGCTCAACTTGGCTCGGCTCGTTTAGACCGCCTCAAAACGAGCCAAGCGGGCTTGTGCCGGTCGAGCCACAGCTCGGCTTGACATTCCAATCAGTACTATATTAATCCCAGATTTCACAGTTTCATACAAGCACATGACCCGCTCGGGGCCGAGCCGGCGGCTTGTCGACGAGCCGCGCGCTGCTCGTGCAGATCTGGCTGGCGCAATGCCCACCCGCACGGATCTAAAGGGCGAAATGCCCACCTGCGGAGATCTGACGGGCTAAGTGCTCACCCGCGCGATTCTGAGGGGCGAAGTGCCTTTTGGGGTGTGCCTGTCAAGCCGAGCCGAGCTGGGAAAACTGTGTGATTGGCTCAAGGTGGCACAAGCCGGCTCAGCTCGACTAAGCCCTGACTCGACCCCGGCTCGAGCTCTGGCTCGAGCCGGCTCTTGATGTGCCCATGTCCACCTCAGAAACTTGGACACAGTGTATGTCGTGTGAATAAGGCTGGAGCTGTTGGCCTTGTCGATTTTTTTTATCGCCCGCTCGCTCGCATTCGCCTTCCCTGTGTGCAAGGTGGACGCACCCATCCACGCCCCCCTCCCCGCCTTTCCCTTGTCCACCCCACCTCCCAGACACCATGCCCATCCCTTTCCTCCTTCCTTCCCTCCTCCATCCTCACAAGCCGCACCTTTATCCCCCTCCTGCCATCGGCTGAAGCTTCCGTTAGCTCCAAGTCCGGCACAGAGATTTCTCCTCTGCGCCAAGCAGTGCTTCCCACCATGCTCGTCTCACCACTCCCTTGGGTCACTTGTGTGCGCTTGCTCTCCATCCTGCCATGCAACACTTTTCTCATCTCACTTGTTCCGACCCATTCCACACAGGGATCTTGGGTACAACTCGTTGACTGGCTCCATTCCCAACAGCATCACCTCACTCACTCTGCTCTCCGATCTGTATGAAGCTTACTGGTATCATGTGCCAGGATTGCATCGCAATTATCCATAGCACCAACTCGTTTCTGACACCATTTCCCAGTCAATGAACATTGTGTCTCCAGAGCTCTTCTCGTCTCAGTTCCAGATCATGCCTGAATGAGCTCTGAGTGGTTGAATGGCACCTACACCGTGTAGCAGCCATGCACTCTGCATGCACCCACCTTTCAAGCTCTCCAATGTGCACCGTTTGAGATTTGCCTCTTCGTATGTCCCTTGCATTTTCGACTAACCAGTCAGTTAAACTTCATCTATCTCACTGCACTGTCTTTTGCATACAAGCGCACAACTCTCTCTTTAGGAGATAAGCAGAGCAGTACTCATGCCCATGTTGCACCTTCGTGTGACCAGTGTTCTGTTGGGGAATCAGCTTTCCGGGCCCATCCCAGCTGGAATTGGAATCCTCACTAACTTGGCCGCGCTGTAAGTCGCATGAAGTAGGCTCCTGTTCTATTGCCTGTCCGTCCGCTTTCGCCGTCTCTCCTGTTTTGAACATCCTCATCTCATTCCCCCCCTTTCCCCTCCTGCCATCACAGCAATTTGTATGGTAACCAGCTCAGTGGCTCAATCCCTGCTGGTATCGGCTCGCTTGCCTGGCTGACAAACCTGTAAATTTTCTGCTTTGCTGTGCCCTCCTAGTCCTACCTCTTCCCCTGATCTCCTGGCCACCTCTCTTAGAACTCTCATGTCCCTCCACTGATCCCTCGCTCTTTCTCTCCCCTCTTCTCATGTCTAGTTACCATCAGCCTCCCCTTTGCATGCACCTTGTGCTAATAGGGATCCATTGCAGTATGGATTCTTCAGGTTCGAGGGATTTCAAATTTTGGATGTGAGGCAAGGCGGAATGTCAGCAGACGGCATGGTTATCTAGCGCAAGATCGCACAAGCACTAGACGCAAAAAGATTTTACAACTTCCACCTGCTAGTTAAGTGTTATGATGCCCCTCTCAACCGTTGGCTCATTGAGGCATCGACAAAAATGACAAGCCTTGTGTGTATCCTCCTCTCTCCTTGCCTTCTCTTCTTTGGATCACCATGATTCGTGTTCATCATTGCAGACGTCTTGGTAGGAATCAGCTCACTGGCTCAATTCCTGCTGGGATCAGCAGTTTTACAAACCTGGATTCCCTGTAAGGCCTTTCCTGTACTCTCCCTTGAATCTTTGTCCTTCGTCACCTCGCAACGCAACCACCCCCACCTTTACCGTACACTTCATTATTCATGCTAACAGGGTGATTGTCACTGCGATATGGATTGGTCAGATTCGAGCATTTCTACATCACGGATTTTTGAGACGGAGTGCTTGCTGACATTGCCGTAGGGCTGGCTGAGAGACTGTGCCCCCCTGCTGTGTCCAGTAGCGCAAGGTCAAGCTGCGTGGCAGCTTCCACCTGCCTGCAGGTCGAGTGTTACGTTGGCCACTCACTTTATCCCCGCTACTGCTGGCTGGCTCAGTGGAACCTCTGGAAATAGTGACTAACATTTAGCCTTTCCTTCTCTTTGATCAACACATCTCCGCTTGCCTTCTCTTCTCTTGCTCACTCTCCTCACGTCTCCTACACTACACCCTTCTTTCCTCCGCACGTTCCAAGGACAATGTCCACTGTGCTGGCAGTGTACCTCTTTAGCATTTGAAGGAATTTCCCATACCAGTGTTTTTGGTCATACCTACCGTTTCATTCCTTCTGTGTCTAAAGTCATCCTTCATCCATCGTTCGTGTTCGTTACTCAGAGGTTTTGAAGAAAATCAGCTCTCAGGCTCAATCCCTGCTGAAATCGGCAGTCTTTCAAATTTGACAGCCCTGTAAGGCTCTGCTCTGTACTCTCCTATCTCTGGCCCGTCTCTCCTCATTTTCTCTGAGTCCTTGACAGCGTCCCGGCTCCAGCCTGACCTTCTGGGACAGGCTGGCTCTGGCCCAAACCGGACCACCCGGGCCCAATGCCAGCCCTTGTCCATCGGGCCTATCTTCCCCCCACCCCCCAACCCCCCACTCTCCCCCCCCCACCCCCCAAATGATAATTGGACGCGTCAGGTTGCCACAATCCCTACCCACCCTATGCATGCTATCTTCTAAACGCTAGACGCAAGGGATGGGCATGATGTGTTCGCGGATGGCCCTGGCACAGGCCGGGCCAGCCTGCCACGGGCTGGGCTGGCCCAAGGCATGTCCACTCCATTGATGATGGCCCGACACAGGCCTCTCCCGGTCCGTCCACTTTTAACGGGCCGGCTCGGCCCGAGCCCTTCCAAGTTCCAGGGCCGGGAACGGCCGAGTTTGGATGGGCCGGGCTGGGCTGAGCCCCGTTAAAAGTGGACGAGCTGGGCCGAGTATGCTAAATCCCCAGTTGTAGTTTCCTCTAACAAGTGGAAAACCTCCCACCAAAACCGCGTTGTCCCAAAACAACAACCATCCACCAGAACATAATTAAGAGTCTCAATGTAACAATCAACTTACATACAATCAAGCCCAGACTGTGGGCCGATTAAACTCCCCGCAAATGCGCCGTCAGCACCACACGACAGCATCAAAGCACTAGATATGGACAGGCGAAAATGGCAAACAATACACACGGTTCTTGGTGCAAGTGGAGAAAAAGGGCTGTAGGGGATAGGGTTCCTGGTAACACAAACACTCACTACCAGCCAGCCACCACTTGTTAAATCCCCGTGTTCCCACAACACCCCCCAAGTTTCCCACATCCAGAGGCAAACAGAAATGGTGTTGGGTAAAATATATAGGAACTGCCCCTACTATTGGCAGATAGAAGATTGAACCCCTCAGCCTAGGCATAGGCAAGCGACAGGCTCGGGCCGGCCTGGCCCGAGCTGCCCCGGCCCGTCTATCAAAGGGACAGGCTTGGGCTAAAACGACAGGCCCACGTGGGTCGGGTCGTTTTGCCCGCCAATCGGTGCTGGAATTTCCCTCCTGACCCACGAAGATCTGGGCGAAAATTGATCTGAGGATAAAAAACATCGCCCTGCACGACCTGTCCCCAGCCCGTCGTTGTCGTCAGAGACGAAGCGGACGTGCCACACCAAACCAGACCCGTCGGCACGGGCCGTGCTGGTGTCAACGAGCCCGTCCGCTAATGGGAGGCTGCCTGGCCCGTGGCCTGCCCCTCTGCCCATGAAATCTCAGTTTCTCCCTAATTGCACAAGCTTACCCTAATCTTTGGAAGAGCTAGCGCATTTGGTGTGAGTAGAATACAGGCTGTTGGGTAGCTGGGATGGTGAGAAACCCTGCGTTTGTTCTGCGATGTGGTGTGGCGGCCAAGAAAACTCGACTTAGAAAGTCGAATGTTTTACCCCATGCCTTGGTTTGCCGGGTCCGTCGAAGGGCCGCATTGCAGCCAACCCGGCCCTCTGCTCTATCTACTGCATGGTCCCACAAGTGCACAGCTGCAAGGCAGTTTCCACAGCTGCCAGCAGCTAGTTCAGTCCTACTTTGGACAACTCACCAAAGCATTGGAGAAAGGCTTCTCAAAAGCCTTTTCTCTCCTTCTGTGCTCTTCATATGATCCTTTGTTCCATGTTCTTGTGTTCTTCCTCCCATTGCTCTCACCTTCCCTCTCCTCGGGTCATGTTTGCACATAGAGTTTGCAGCACGTTTGCATGCACCTTCGGTCTTATCATCACATCGCATTTTTTCCTTTCGTTGTCCTTTTCTCACACCATGGCAAACAATTCCTCTCCTAACCCCCTATCCTGTCCTTGTGTACCCACACGTTTCAGAAATGTCGACAACTCAGCCATCTTGTTAATGTAGCATTTCCAAGCATCTCGCCAATTGATTTAGACAACATTACATGAACTTGAAACCTCTGGTGTTTTCTGTCACATGCCTGATTCATCTTTATGATGACAGGAGTTTTTGCCCGAATCAGCTCACTGGCTCAATCCCTGCTGCAATCAGCAACCTTACACGTCTTCAATTCCTGTAAGGCCGCTGCTTTCCTATCCTTGCCCGTCTACCCAACTCCCGACTCCTGTAAGGCCTCTCCACTGTCCCCCCTCCCCCCCCTTTCTTTTTAATCCTATTCTCTCCATCCCCCTTACCACCACTCTCTTCTCTACTCTACATACTGTATGTCATACTGGTTCATGGCGCTGGAGTGTAAATGACGCGAGACAAATCCTCGCGGACGTTCTCATGGGACTAACTTAGTGGGTGCGAGAACCTGGTACCTTGCTGTGCTTAGTTCGTAAGGGAGCGTGTTGCTGCATTGGTATCGAGTACAGGCTCGCACAAGCGCCTGCAAGGCAGCCTCTACAACTAGCAGTAGCTACTTGTGTTATGTTCGCTGGATGACAGCAGTGACGGTACCGTATGTCATTTCCCTTATCCTGGGCCGGCCCAGCCTGTGGCAGCGCTGGCCCGAAGCCCATCCACTCGGCCGACAGCGTTGAAGATGGGCCGAACCAGGATGGCCGGCTGGGAAGGCCGGCGACGGGCCGAAGCATGGCCGGTCGACGACCTGGACGACCTGAGTCGCGCAGGTCACTGGCCCTTAAGGGTGAAACATTGCCCCAATTTATGCAGATCAGATGGCGATGAGCCAGACAGGCGCTAATCGGCGGTCAAAACGATCCGGCCCGCCCTGATTGTGCAGAAGTTCTGCGAAGTTCGGGTTACGAACCGCCCGATCCGTGTGGAGTGGGGGATTGCTTGCATGGATCGGCCGGCGAGACGCCTGTATCGAGCTTCCCCGATCGGAGGACGGGCCTACCCTGGACCGTCCTCTTCAGGTGGGGCTTGGCCCGGGGGCCGGCACTGGATGGGACTGGCTAGCCAGGCCATAGGTATGTTCATGGCGCGGTCGGGCCAGGCCGGTCTACACCCCAGCCCGAGGTCCGTGAGTAGAGGACGGGCCCGGGTAGGCCCATCCTTGGGCCGGGCCAGCACGAGACGGGCCTAACGGCTTACGGGCGCGTGGCATTTCAACCGCCGGTCCGCAGGGATCGGGGCGTTTTGTCTGCTAATCTGGGCGGATCTGGCTTTTCGCCGCCCAATCCGCATGGATTTGGTCGCTTCTACTGCCGATCCGCGTGATCTGGCGTTCCGCTGACCTGAGTCGAGCAGATCACTGACCCTTAGGGGTGAAAATTTACCCCAATTTATGCGGATCGGATGGCGATGTGCCAGACAGGCGCGGATCGGCTGTCAAAACGATCCGCCCTGTGGTAAAAATTCACTGACTGATGCAGTTTCCTTACTACTGTTCGTTTCCACCATCCTTTTGCATGCCTGATTCGTGTTCATTATCACAGGCGCATAGAAAGTTGTCAGGTGTCTGGCTCAATTCCTGCTGCAATCGGCTCTCTGAAATCCCTGCAATGGATGTAAGGCCTCTGCTTTTTCTTTGCTCTGATTGCTCTGCCTCTCCTGTCCAACCTTTCAGCATGAAAAAAGGTATGGCTTTATCATCTGTTAGAATGGGTTTGTCATCTGTTAAAAAAACTCCGCGGCTGTATCACTTATAATCAACAAAAATGATTCAGGGGCAGGATCTACCCCATAGAGGGTGGCAACCCCTGTGAAAAAGGTATACACTTAGACTTGATATTTGGATGTGAGTCACTCGGTTGATTGTTATTGCCTGTCCATCGATCATCTCGTGTCCTTATTCTAAACCCCTCTTTGTCCTCTTCTCGTCTCAATTCAGAACTGTAGATCGGGTTCTCTCCAGTTGTCACGTTCTGTCTGGTTTCGCTTCTGGACTTCTCTCCCCTTCGTTTATCATCAATGCAATACAGATGTCGGACCCTGATCCCTGGACCCTGATTCCATTCTTCGTGCCTTGCTTGATGTTTCTTTACAACCAAAGGTATCTCGGAGGCATTCAGCTCAACGGCTCTATTCCTTCTACTATTGGCTCGTTGGCAGGAACTTTGGGCTTAATGTAAGGCATTGCCTTGTTCTCTTGTCCTAATTGCTATTTCTGCTCTCTTTCCCTTTTCTCTCCATTTGGACACGCTGGAAGCCGTGTTAAGTAGGCAACAGCTGAGGATCCAGATTTCTTTTGAGTGGGTTGCTGTTGACGGATACACGCTGCTGCCTTTGTTGGGAGTATGTTGGCAATGTTCCCCTCCGTGTGCACCCATCCGTGTGCCCCTCCCCGCCTTTCCCTTGTCCACCCCAGCGTCCTCCCAGCCACCATCCCCGTCCCTTCGCTCCCTCCTGCCCTCCTTCATCACCACTTAGCCCCGCCTTTCTCCCCCTTCTGCCATCCACTAGAGCTGCTTCCATTTGCTCCAAGTTCGCCGCAGAACGTTCTCCTCTGTGCGCCGAGCATCACCCCCTTGGATTTCTCGGGTGTGCTTGCCCCTTCCTGCCATGCCCACTCTTCTCACCTGACTTTTTCCGACCCACGCCACACAGGGATCTCTCAAACAGCTCGTTGACTGGCTCCCTTCCCGACAGCATCACCTTGCTCATTCGGCTCTCCCAGCTGTAGGAAGCTCACTGAAATCATGTGCCAAGGTTGCATCGGACTTTCCCATGGGTCACTTGCCAACATGCAGTCAACGATCGTTGTTTCTTCAGAGCACTCCGTGTCCCACCCAGTTCCAAAGCATGCTTGAATTGGATCAGCCTGAGCAGTTGAATGGCACGTAAACCTTGCAGCAGGCTTGCACTCTGCATGCTCCCACCTTCTCTAACCCCTCCAATGTGCAACCTTCTAAAGTTGCCTCTTCTGAAATCCCAGCCCTGTTGGACTGACCAATCAGTTCTTGTAGATTTGTCTCACTGCATCGACTGTTTCATAAGAATGCACAACGCGCTCTTTGGGGGTCAGCAGTGCAGAAATTCATGTCCACTTTCCACTCTCGTGTGAGCAGATCTGTGGCAAGGAATCAGCTTATCGGGAACATCCCTTATGGAATTGGAAACCTCTATAAGCTGAGCTCGCTGTAAGCTGTGTGAACTAGGATGGTGCAGAGGACCCACTTTTGTATGAAAGACGTTGGCAATATTCCTGGCCTTCCCATTCGCCTTCCCATTCGCCTTCCTGTGCACCCATTCGCATGCCCCTACCATCCCAGTCCCTATCCTCCCTCCTTCCCTCCTTCATCCCCACTTAGCCCCACCTTTCTCCCCATTTTGCCCCGGGCTGCTTCAACGTTCTCCTCAGTGTGCCAAGCAATGCTTCCCACCATGAGCGTCGCACCACTTCTTGAGTCGGTTGTGTGTTTTTGCTGTTTCTCCTGCCTTGCCATATATCTGGCGTTTTGCTTGCCGGACCACCCAGATCGTGTAAAACATTTGGGTTTACGCGCCAAAATTTTCAGATCCGGGAGGCTTGTTATGCGCAACTGCACGGGCCACGGGCAAGTGCACGGGCCACGGGCCAGCCCGTGAGGGACCGGGCTGGGCAGCACGAGAGGCCCCGTTTAATGATGCGAGGGGCTGGCCCAGCCCATCCCTGGCCCATCCCTCTGCCCATGTCCACTACCTGTAGTACCGGCAGAGGGGGCAGCAAGGGCAAGGGTGAGAAGTAGTGCCGGTGCCGGTGCCGGAGAAGGAGCAGTAGCAGCAGCAGCAGTTGGGAGGTGACTGTGAAGTTTAAACTATGCCTTAAGAATGTAGGACCATGACCAAAAAGGGTGACACGAATCACGTACTCAGGAGTGAGGCAGAAGAATGGTGCCACAGTAGGCAGACGCGAGGAGAGCTGCAAGCCAAGCGTCTACACGCTGGCAATGCAGTTCGCCATGGAGGTTAAGTCGGTCAGGCGAAGGCTGATAAAGGGGCTTACGATGCTGATGTGAGTCTGCATTTGAAAGCGTCATTTGAGATAGGCGTGAAAGTTATGGACCTTGCAGTAGTGAGAGCACTGCGCCAGAAGAAAGGGAGGCAGGCAGGTGAGAATGACCTGGCATACCCTCGTAATGGCGACATTCCAGTTAGCAAGTAGGAGAAGGATGAGCTGGCAGCAGCGCATGCAGCAGCACAAGTAGGCAATCGAGCAGCATCAGCATCAGCCGCCAGTGAAACAGCATATTTTTTCCTGCGCCTTGGCAAACGAGTCAAACAGCCCATCGATGTAGGCAGCTGAACCTGAACCTGAACCTGTGCGACACTCGAGTATCCGCTTTCCACTAGGGGATTCGTCAGGCCGAGTATCCCCCCGAGGGAGGGCGGCAGAGAAGCTTGGGCCCAGGTCCGGGGCAGCTCCGCCTCACCCCGGGGTAGTTGCGACGCGCAGGCCTGCAGGAGTGTGTGGAAGAGGGGTTCTCCCCACTTGGACCACTCTTGTGGGGGGAGCAGATCTAGAGAAGTGGCCCGGACACTGTAAGAGACGCGGCGGGACACACAGCGTTACAGGCTACAGCAGCAGCGACTCCACCTGGGGGTCCAGCTGGGCGATGAGGAAAGCGGCGGCGCCGTCGCGCGGGCCGATGTGGCTCCCCAGGACGCGGAGTCGTCAGCGCAGAAGGGATGCTCTCTGGGGCGGGGTTACGCTCCAAGCGGCGCATTTTGCTGGGTAATGCACCAGCCCGAGGGGGCAGAGGGCATTTGTGAAGTGTGTGAACGCCGTGCTGCACGCAGACGGCGCACCGAGAAAGGTGACGTCGTCTGCATACGCGAGGCATAGCACCCAGGGGAAAGCAGCTGCCGTCGCACGAAGGGCAGGGTGGGTGCCAGTGGCAATCAGGCGTGGGCCCAGTGGGTCCCCCTGGCTAACGCCGTGCTCGCTCAGAAGCGGCAGACTGGCAAAGCCAGCGTCGAGGAGCAAGGTGGACATGCATCCGTAAGAGAGGCGCGGGAGGGGCAGAAGGTGCCGGAGGGGAGAGTTCGCCAGCACGGCGACGATGGCTGCCCTCCCAATGCTGTTGAAAGCAATGTCGACCTGGATGCTCATGGCGCGGGGGTTGATGTCGACAAAGGTGTGTGCTGTATGGACGATCGCCTTGCCACCACCAGGGACAGTGACGCCGAACTGGTGCAGTAGGAAGTATTCTTGCGCCGGCACCGTGGAGGCGGTCAAAGCGGATTTGGCGGCGAGTCGGTGGAAACACTCGCCAATGGCAATTGGTCGAGTGCCACCGTCTGGCTAGGTAAGGGCGAGGAGGCGAGAGGAGGTGAGAAGAGTGACAACGTTGTCTGGCAGGTGACCGCGCATCGTGATGCTCACGAGGCTGTGTAACTCGGTTGCGACAGCTGCGTCAACAAGCACGCTGCCGCGAAGGTGTTCAAACGTGGTGCCAGAGGAACCTGCACCGACACCGTTTTCGCAGCGGGTGAGTAATGTGCTGAAGCTGGCGAAGGGAATCGAGGGGGGCTTGAGATGGTCGTCAGCGTCAAGCCAGTCAATTGACTGGGTCAGCGCTGGTGGGTATCTGGACTTCAGGGCTGGGAGCACGTCAGCAGAGGGGACGCTGACCGGAGTGGAGTCAAGCACCATGACAGCTCGTTTGAGGCTGCCACGTCACGCAAGCCCTTCAGCGCGTGCAATCTTCCCCACGTTATCGGGCCTATGACATGGAGGGGCTGGTTCCGATATTGCGCTTTCTGCAACCTGGTACAGTTGCTCCCATTCGCCAGCCAGGAAGTTCTTCAGGCGCTGTTCGATTTTTGTCCAATCAGGTCGCCTGGGTCAGCCCTGGCAAATTGTCAGCCTGGGGGTGAACAGGAAGAGGCGCCAGCCCGCGAGGGATGATGGGATTTTCCCCAGGTGCAGAAGGGAGACCAGGAGGGTCAGTGCGAAATGTGGGCGTAGATTGGGCGGTAAGCGACGACAGATTGGTGGCTGGCAACAGTCGCAGAGGGTGGCGACGTCCCAGTTGGCGATCGGGGCGAAAAGAGTTTCGTCAGAGGCCAGGTCCTCCGGCGAGGTTTCAGCAGGGTGATAGGGTGGTTCTGGCGGCATAATCGGATTTTCTGGTCGCTGGCGAGCATCCTGCCGCTTGCTCGAGAAGATTGAGATCCGACTCGGGCCCCTTCCCTAGCTCGTCCTGCATTCGGGGTCTCAGCACTTGAGCCTTCAGTGATCGCCTCTTCGTGAGCTGGCTGTATATATGTCGCATCACCCCCCTCCTCCTCGTCAGTTATTCCTTCCCGTTCCATTTCCCTTAAAGCCTGTCCCCCAGCCCTCTGGAAGCCGTTCAGCGGTCCCCCTCCTGCAATCGTCGAACTCCTGTCGCGTCCTTCGCCTCTTCCGGGATGTTAGGGGGCAACAAGTCAAGGTACGTGCATGTTTAGGGGCTCGATTCTACTCGAGCTCCCCTAGGGGCTCTGCTATGGCAAAGCAGTCCCCAGGTGCCATGTCGGCGTCAGGGGTGCCCACGGGGGTGTGGGGGCAAGGGGAGGCTTCATTAACCTTGCCCAGGTAAGCCAAGGCCTGCGCCCGTTGTAGCGTCACTGACCAGCGTTGGCGGAACTGGTGGAGCAGCTTTGCTGCTTGGTAGGGAGTGGGGTCCGCGTTGAAGAGCCTCCTGGCACCTGTGTCCGCCAGCAACTTCAGGAAGGTGGAGACTTCGGCGCATGGGCAGCCGTATGTCTCGACCGCCAGTGCGAAGAAGCCGACGTAGGGAGCTCTGTTGCGGTAATGGTGGATTTTCTTATCGGCCTGCTCTCGGGCCATGTATCCTCGACCTTTTCGTGCGTCCGGGTCCCGGCTGCTGATGGGGTTTGTGACGGTGACGTCACAGATCCAGACAGCGCCGGAGCTGCGGTCGCGGAGTGCGAGGTGGGCCTTGTGGCCGTCCACAGGGCTGTAGATGGTGGTCTCCTTGGTGACTATGAAGTCAGCGTCCCGGGCCATCCGGATGCTCTCATCCCGCAGGGCGTTATGGGTGTCTGTCCGTCCGTGCCCGGTGCCACACCGGAAAAGGTGGTTGGGCAGCCTTGTGTCGAGGATTTCAAATTCCTCGGCGCGGTTGCATGTCCGGGGGGCTGGGAACGGAAGGCCGAGGCGGAAGGCCAGGGCAATGGCGAAGTGTGGAGCTTCGAGGCGGAGGGATGGGAAAATTGGGATGGCATGGAGCCAGTCTCCTGCTCCATATCCGGCCAGGGAAAAGAGGCGCTGCGTATGGCCGGAGTGGGGGTTTGGGTCCATTGTCCTTGAGGCCGCCACCTGGTCGGCGAACCGCACGGCCTGGACTTCGAGAGATAGGCGGTGTTGGAGGGGGGAGCCCGAGTGTTCTCCTCGCTCAGATTGTAGAAGCTCCAGGGCCCGTGGGGGCATCGCCGTTTCACACTTCGCCAGCCAGGTATGCAAGTGGGTGGGGCTGTTGAAGGGTGGTGTGAGGTGGCGTACAGAGTCGGCTAGGGGCCCTCTGGACGCTGCTGGGAGGGCGGCTAGGAGGCCCTGGGCTTGGGTGACGCTGGTGAGGAAGGCTGGATGCCCTTCAATCGCAGGGTCGGTGAGCCCCAGCCCTCCGAGGGAGGGAGGGAGGGACGCTTGGGCCCAGGTACGCGCTTGCACTGACTCGCCTCGTGGTTGTTGGAGGTTGCAGGCGCGTAGTAGGGTGAGGAATAGCTCTCTGCCCCACTCGGACCAGACCGCCAGAGGCAGGAAATCAAGGGGGGTGGTGCGGGTTAAGTACGAGACGCGCCTAGATACGCAGCGTGTGAGGAGGAGGGAGGAGGACTGTGGGTCCATCGTGGCCAGTGTGGCGAGGGGTTCGGCAAGCACGGCCAGCTGGGTGCGGAGGAAGCCGGCTGTGCCTTCTGGCGTGCCTATAAAACTGCAAAGCATGCGGACCCCGTCTGTGTTGAAGGGTATGTCTGGCAGTTAGTCGCAGGGCGCTCGGCTGACCATGCCGCGCATTTCGCGAGGTTGTGGGAGAGACCGATGCGTTCCATGGCGGCGGTGAAGTCTAGGTACGCCGAGGTGCAAGCGTCCGGATCGCCCACGAAAGTCACGTCGTCTGCGTAAGCGAGGCAGAGAACCCCTGGGTGGGCCGCC